TGTATGTGCATATGTGCATGTGCATATGGAGGCTTGAGGTCGATGTTGGATGTCTTCCTCTAGCTCACTTCACCTTATTTTCTTTGAGCTAGAGTCTCTCGCCCAACCTGGAGCTAACTGATTCTGCAAGACTACCTGGCCAACAAGCCCCAGGGATCCTCCTGTCCCCGACTCTGCAGTATTAGGATTACACCTAGCTTTTCATATAAGGAGTACAGCAAACACTTTACCCACTGTACCATCTCCCCAGTGCTGGAGGGGATCCCTAACCTTGGCCACATTCTAGGACATATCATGTGCTCAAGTCTCCAACTGGTAAATATAGCTGTGATACTGTACCAGTGTAGACTGCAAATAAATATCCAAGGTATTGTAACTCAGCTTCTGACAAGTTGGCCTGTTCTTTGTAAGAATTAGAAGGTTGTTTGTGTTCTAGAACCTCCTGAAGAATGATGGAGAACAGGATTTCCTGGTGGCCAGGATCATCTGTAAGGAAATTTGAAGCTATCCTTTTACTATCTTGCCTGCAAACATTTTTACAGGGATCAAATTGATTTGCAAACACAGTCTTGGTTACTGGCACTGAGGAAATCATTCTGAAATGCATAAGCTGCTTCAAAGGGGCAAAAATGAGACAGGAAGCATGTGGTAAGAGGATGGATTTCAGAATAGAATGGTACACAGACCCAAGGGTACATTAGCAAGGGAAGAAAAGCAAGGTAGGAGGTAGGTTGCCTCTGTTGCTAAGCAGCCACAGACATGTTTTTTGGTGTTGCCAGAGTAACAGGAAAGGGGATAATGAGTGCCTGAGATTTTTTAAGGAGCCAGCTCTAGTCAGGGTCTCCTTTCCTTGTTCTTTAGTACCCTAACTTATTTAATAGCTACCTGGGTATCTAGTTTACTAGTCTGAAAACAGACAAGCTAACTTATTTGGAAATCAAGTGCTTCACAGACCATAACCCAAAGACAGTGCCCTCTGAAAAGCAAGGAAGCCTCTGTTGAGTGCACATTTTAGATTTGCTCATGTTTAGCCCAACTATTTGCTTCTAGTTGCCTAGAATTGCCTTTTGACTTTTTTTGAAACAACTTATTATAGAAAAAAATCAAATACACACCCAAGTAGAAGCAGTGGTATAAAATCTCCAATATTGCTAAAAAAAAAAAAAAAAAAAAACCAAAACCCCAATTATTATTCTCTTTTGATTAATCTTGCTTCATGGACATTTCCACTCACATTTCTTCGCCCTTGACCTCCTTGTCCTTCCCCCTAATTTCTTAAGCTTAGGATTTATTTATTTTTAAGTTATTTTTATTTATTTACTTTTATTTTATGCATATGAGTATTTTCCCTGTATGTATTTACACGTGCCACATTCATGCAGTGCCCATGGAGGCCAGAAGGTGTCCCATCCTCTGGAACTGGAGTTATGGACAGTTGTTAGCTGTCATGTGGGTGATGGGAACTGAACCCAGGTTCTCTGCCAGAGCAGCTAATATTCTTAACCACTGAGGCATCTCTTCAGCCCCAAGTTTAGGGTACTTAGAAACAAGTTCTAGACATCATATAATCTTATTGTGAATAGTTTAGTATGAAACACTAAAGAAAAAGGATGGTAAAAAGCAGAACCATAATGCAAACACACCTAAAATGATAAGAATTCAGGGGCTCAGTCAGTGAAGCACCTTGCACTGGAGGACCTGAATTTTATCCCTATAACCCATGTTAAAAAAAAAAACAAAAAACTGGTGTGGATAAGAATTCATATAATCCTAGTGCTGGGAGTTAGACATTCCTGAGGCTTTGTGGCCAGCAAGCTTACCCTACTTGACCAGTTCCAGGCTAGTGAGAGACCCTGTCTCAAAACACAAGTTGAATGGCACCAAGGAACAACCTAAGGCCGACCTCTACAGGTACATGCACACGCATGAATTTACACACACACACACACACACACACACACACACACACACACAAGAGAGAAGCTAAGAATTCAAATGTCTGATCACTGCTCAAAGCTTTCTGATTCTTTACATTATGTTTTTGGTTTGTTTGATTAAATTCATATCCAAATGGTGCTCCATCTCTGTCCTCTTTAATTTATTAAAAAAAACGGAGGCAAATGTCCTATAGTTTCCCAGAGCCTAGTTTTTGCAGTTTATACCCCATAGTGTAGCATAATAGCTTCTCTTATTGCCTTATACATTTATTTATTTATCATTTATTTATTTATCATTTATTTATTTATTATTTATTTATATTTTGTGTGTATGAGTGTTTTGCTTCATGTAAGTGTAATACATGCATGCAATGCCTTTAGAGGCCAGTAGAAGGCTTCAGATCCCCTGGAACTGGAGTTAGAGACAGTTGTTAGCCACCATGTGGGTGCCAAGAACCCAACCTGGGTCCTCTGCAAGAGCATCAAGCTCTCTTAACAGCTGAACCATCTCTCTGGTTCTCCCACCCCCAATATTGTTTTGTTTTGTTTTTTAAGGCAGGGTCTGCCTGTAGCTCCAGCTGACTTGGAACTCACCATGTAAACCAGGCTGGCCTCCATCTCACATGTGGAGGTCAGAAGACAACTTTTGGTCAGTTCTCTCTTTCTACCACGTGTCCCAGAGGTCAAACTCAAATCATCAGGCTTAACAGCAGGTGCCCTTTACCCGCTGAGCCATCTTGCCAGACCCGGTTTGACTCTTCTGCAAGAATACTTCACAGGTTATATTGGGTTGTATCCGGAAGCATTTGTTAATATTTGTATTATGTGTTTGAGAATATTTTATCTCCTTTCTATGCAAGTTCACTGTGGCTACTATAACAAATTACTACAAACTATATGGTTTAAAACAACAGGACCCACATGGCAGCTAACAACTGTCTGTAACTCCAGTTCCAGGAGATCTGACAGCCTCTTCTGTCCTCCATGGGCATTGCACAACACGGGTGCACTTACCTACATGCAGGCAATACATGCCTACACATAAAATAAAAATAATAAATTAATAAAATTTTTTAAAACCCAGGAATTTATTCTCTCTCAGTTCTGGAGACCAGAAGTCAGTTTCACTAAGCCCAAACTGAGGCACAGCCGAGCCTGCTCCCTGAGCTCTAGAGGATATTTCCTTTGCCTCCTGCAGTTTGTAGTTGCTGCCATCCTTGTGTGACTGAGGCCACAAGCCTCTACCTTGTCTCTGTATATCAGATATCTCTCTCTCTCTCTCTCTCTCTCTCTCTCTCTCTCTCTCTCTCTCACACACACACACACACACACACATCTGGTTTGATTTATAAGCCATCCAGTTAGTTGCGGGTAACCACCCCTGGTCACAATCACTTTTAAAGGTCCTGGGGACAGGGGAAGAGGCCTCAGACAGGAGAGGAGTGCCCAGACTAGATTCAGCTGTGTTCCAATTACTTTCACTTGCATACAAGATGGCCTACTTCCAGGTTCTTGTTCAAAGCTGACCCTTTTGGTTGGCTTCCCCCAACCACCACACCATAGGCCTCCCTCTGGCAGGAATTTCAAATTTCCCACCCTTGCTCTCCCCAATTAAGTTCCTACTTTTATATGAGTAAACCACTTTTATATGAGTGCATCCTGCCCTGTCCAATCCCAGAGGAGAAGGGGAGCACAGTCCTGTCCCCTCCTCCTACTACCTATAGAATATACAAGCCCAGACTCTCAGGGGAGGTAGACTGAGCTCCAGCTCTGAACCCCTCCCCTTGCAGGGGGGGTCTGTCTCTTTGCTGTGTGGTATATTGCCTAATTATCAATAAACCTTGACTGTGTGCTAGAACTGCAAAAAAAAAAACATTTTAAAATAAAATAATTTTTTAAAAAGGCCCTGGGATTAGTGCCTAATATCTTTATTCTGTTGTAATTACTGGCATAGATTTTGAGTACGCCTTTTTTGCTTTGCTTTTTGTTTTTTTTTGTTTTTGGTTTTTTTTTTTTTTTTTTTTTTTTTTTTTTTTTTTTTGAGACAGGGTTTTTTTTGCTTTTTGCTTTGTTTTGTTGAGACAGGGTCTTCCTGTCATCTCAGTTGGCCTGGAGCTTGCTAGGTATAGACAGGCTCACCTTGATCTCACAGAGCTGCCTGCCTCTGCCTGCCAAATGATGGGATTAAAGGTGTGAGCCGTCATACCAGAGTGTCTTTTAAAATTCATGATTAGATATTTTATTTCACTGTGTTGCTATTTAAATGACAGCTTTCTCATTTATATCTTCTAAATGGTTTTGTTATTTGTATATTTGTAATATTTATATATTGATGTTTTTGTTTGATTTTGGTGCTAGAGATCAAGCCTGTGTCCTATAGTGGGTTCTATAACTTGTTGTATTACTAAGTTTTCTTTATTGTAGTGACTTTTCAATGAATTCTTTTGTATTTATGATTTCTAATTAGACTATCTGTATATGGGGGAGTTTTAACTCTTCCTCCTGCTTCTAATGCTTCACCCTGGTCTAATGTTCCTGTCATGATGCATTTGAAGAGTAACTGAGATTTTAGTTAGCCTCATCTTTCCTGTCTTCAGCAGGAACACATCTAGATCCAAATTACACACACACACGCACACACACACACACGGGTGTGTTGAGAGAGGGTCTCATGTAGCCCATACTGGCCTCAAACTCCCTAGGTAGCCAAGGGTGACCTTGAGCTTCTGATCCTCAGCTTCCACCTTCCTACTCCTGAGATGACAAGTGTGCACCACCACACCTGGTTCATGTGATGCTGGGTCTGGAATTTTGGCTTGGTAAGTCACCTGTTGAATGATAACTTGGATAGGAAAACAAACATCAGTGTCTCACGTGCAGCCCTTGCCCTACTTTCCATTCATGCGTTTTAAGTGAGGGCCAAACCTGCGTTAGAGCTGCTTAGTTTTTACTTCTTGATTTCAATTTTAAGCGATAGCAAAGGGAATAAATTTAGGTTAGTCGATTCTATCATTGTGTTATGTGCAATCAATGTTACTTATTTTTTATTTTTCCCCCCTCAAGGCATAACCGTGTTGCCCGATGAAGAGCAACACTTGAATCATTATGTACAGGTTTTACAGAACCTAATACTGAGTGTTCCCACTAGGGAGCAGACCTCTGAGACGAAATCAAGTTCTCCAAATGATGATACTCCACAGCCGCGGTCGTTGAAGCCGGAGTCGATGGGCACACCTGGCGTTACCCCGGAGAACAACGTCCTCAGGCCCCACAGCGAGGAAACCACCACCTTGGCCACTAGCGGCTTCCCGCTGGGCGTAGAGCGGAAATCCACCCAGCGCACGCCCTTCTGGTCCATCCGGCCAAATAACGTCTCGGTGGTCTTGCGCTCGGATGAACCTTACATTGAGAAGGAAGAACCAGAACCCGAGCCCGAGCCAGAGCAACTGAGGACGTCAACCGAACCCCCAAGTCCGACAACCGGGGTCACCGAGCCCTGGGTGAGCACGCAGGTCACCGTCACAACCAGGTCCACCAACATGGACGTGTCCCCAGACACCGAGGATGTGCCCCAGCTTTCAGGCGACTCTAAGGACGAGAACTTGGAAGAACTGGCCGAACACGACCCACACAGCATGAGACACGAGGAAATTTTGAGAAAAATTTCCAATATTAAGGCCCAGATTCAGCAGGGGCCGCTGGGCATCGGTACCAACCCCGAGTACAAGGAGTACATCCAGGTGTCCAGGGAGCACCTGAAGCGCAGTCTGGCCCTCGCCGCTGCCGCAGAGCACAAGTTGGAGCAAATGTACCGGTCTCAGGTTTTTCCAGACAGACGGACCAGCTACCACATCGATGACCTTGAAACTGTTATTAATATGCTGTACAATTCCAGATCGAAATTATCGGAGTATTTCAGTATTAAACATATTCCACCAGAGTTGAGAGAAAAGGCTACCACCGTATTCAGTAAGTTAAAAAGAATATTATGCACAGATCAGATAGAAAATCACAACCACATTAGGAAGTTGCTAAGCAATAATATAAAACTTCTAAACCTTCTTGATGTTTCATGAGTAAATTCATTTACACAAACAGCTCATTCACAGGAAAATAAACATATTAGTGATTTCAGAAATTACCTAAAATATTTTCCATTATACTTTTGTGTGGTAATATCTTTATGTGTCATGTAAAATAGTTTTATATGCACTGAAAACCTAATTTAAAATAAAAATCTGGTTTGTGAGCTTGTAGTTTTTTTCTCATTAATTTTAAAAGTTGTGAAGATCTAATCTTTAAAATGTTCAAGTTTTGATACCACATGAATAGATGAGCTAAATTCACCCATTTTATGAGTTAGCAAACTGCTTGCAACTGTCTAAGGCAGTAATTTTAAAATCATTGCATACATTCTTTAACACCCTTTCAGAGAATCTAGGTTTTCTGTATGAAAAGCAAGTTCAAAGCTTGTATCAGGCAGGACCACTTCCATCTGGACATCATTTGCCTCCTTTGGAGGTGCATGGTTTATTGAGTCACATCCTGTTCTGTTGTCAGCCACTTTGGGATCCTTAAAGAGGGACTGGAGCCTGGGTCTGTAATGACATCATTCTCATTAGTTCCTCTTTTTTTGCGGGGGGGGGGCTCTTTTTGAGACAGGGTCTCTCTGTAGCCCCAGCTGTCCTGGAGCTCACTGTGTAGACCAGGCTGGCCTTGAACTATCAGAGATCTGCTTGCGTCTGCCTCCCGAGTGCTGGGATTAAAGGCGTGCGCCACCGTTGCCGGCTAGTTCCTCTTTTTACTTCTGTACATACATTTTAAAGCTTGGCAAATCTTCTGACAGGTGTGACTGACACCATTCAAGTTAGCTGTGTAATATTATAATGAAGGTGCAGGCAATTCTGTTTTGACCAGTATTGTATTCAAGTCCATCTATTTAATAGTCATTCCTTGAGCCATTTATAGATAAATAAAGATTTATTGACCCTTTGCTAGAACAAAATGCTAGGCTTTGAAGATATAATGAAAAGCTGTTTCATTCTCTCTTTTAAGATTATATCTATCTTAAAATTTTAGCTGGGACAAGTTGTTATGGGGTGAGCTGTTGGACCTAATCTAGAATGAGAAGACAACCCTTGGCAAGTGGCGTTTCAGGCCAGGGCTGAGAGCTGGGGGGGAGCTTAGCAGGGAAGAACTTTCCAGGTCAAGGAGGAGCACGCATGGATGCAGAGTTGAGACTGAGTATGGCAGGCTCAGGAAGTGCCTGGAGTATAGAGGGGCCAGGAGAACATCCAAGATGGAGCAGTCTCATATGCAGGGTTGGAAAAGAGCTCTCCAGCCTCCCGTGGTGCATAGTTAATATTGTGAGAAGCAAAGGACTGTCACGATGAAGTTTGTGTCAGATGAGTGTGTTCTTAAAACAACACAACACCCTAGCTACCATTTTAGAGGCAGGTAAAAATAGATATGCACCCCATACAAGCTAAATTTGACGAGTCAGATGGAAAGAACTGGCAATCAAGAGGTAAAATCAAGAGACTCTAGTGGCTAAATGCACATGTGTGACTGAGGGAGAAACAAGGATCGGGAAAAAAATTCTCATATGACTATTTTGTAAAAATAATTACATAAGTTTTGTTTCACAAAACACTGTTCACTATGTTTGTTTCTAAAAATAACTTTGCTGTGAAAGATTTCAAGCATTTGCAAAAGTAAACAATAATGTGGTAAAATTGACACCTATTGTTCGTCATCAACAGTTACGTTCTGATGGTCAGTCTTTGTCATCTCTCCCTCCACCCTTCCCCTGCTTCCTTAATGATGAACTAAACCCCCAATACTTGGATTATTAAATCTCTAAAAAGAACGATGTGCTGTTCTATAGGCTTTGGAAGAGCACTGTTTAAGTGTTTTATGGCAGTTATCCTCATATACGAAGTTTGGTATCTAGTCAATGTTTAACTTTTTGAAAATGATTAGACAATTGGAAATTTGGAGTCTCTGTATGAATCGAGATCAAATAAAGTTCACACATTGTACTGCCTGACTTGACTCAGAAATCTTTTAATCTAAGGAATCCCTTTCCACCTCCTTTTTCTCTTCTTTGAAGCTTCTTTATTAGAGAAATGGGTCATTAGTCCTATAGTTTCCCACAGGATAGATGTAGCCCATGCGCCCAGCCTGTTTTCCTGTCCTTTCTATTTTCTTAATTCATTTATGTTTATTTTTATATGTATAGTGTATGTCTGTGTGAATGTGTGCCATATATGTGTAGGTGGCCCCTGTGGCCAGAAGAGGGCATCCAAATCCCTGAAGCTGAAGTTACAGGTGGTTGTGAGCTGCCTGACGTGGGTGCTGGGAGCAAAACTCAGGTCTTTTGCATGGTCTGTAAAGACTCTTAACCTCTGAGCCATCTTTCCAGCCCACTCTGCATTTTTTGTAAATTGGTAGTTTAATTTCATCAGACTGTGTTTTTGTTTTCTTCTCTATTTTCTTTCTTCTTTCCCTTCCTCCCTCCTCCATTCTCTCTCTCTCTCTGTGCTTGTGTTTGGGGGACGAGAGGATGATATTCGGTGTCTTCCTCAGTCATTAGACTCTCTTTTTGTTGCTGTTCTTCAAGATTTATGTGCGTGTGTTCATGCCTGCATGTATGTGTGTTCACCATGTGTATGCCAGTGCCTACTGAGGCCAGAGGAGGACATCTGATCCCTTGGAACTAGAGTCATAGGCAGTTGTGAGCCACCTGATATGGGTTCTAGAAACTGAACTCGGGTCCTCTGAAAGAACAAGTACTCTTAACTGCTGAGCCATCTCTCCATCTCCTTCAGCCATTTTTTGAGACAAGGTCTTCCACTGAACCTGGAGCTCACTGATTTGGCTCTACTGGCTGGCCAGTGAGCCCCAGGGATCCTCCCATGTCTACCTCCCCAGTGCTGGGGCTACAGACGCACATCACTGTACCCAGCTTTGTGTGTGGATGCTGGAGATCCAAACTCTGGCCCTCATGTTCATGTGGCAGGCACTTTACCCATTGATCTGTCTCCCCAACCCCTTCCCCTTTCCTTTTCCAGGCAGTGTTTTTTTATTTAACTCCAGCTACCTGAGCCATTCCGTTTGTATTTTTTGCAGACCTTGATGACCATTCCCTAGGTTGATGCTAGGTAAATTCATTAACCAGGTAATGTAAAGTGGAAATATTATTCTTTTATTACCTGAACTATTTCTCTAAAGAGAATTTTTTATCTCAACTATTGATTCCCCAATGATCAGTTACCAAATGCTAGAATATTTCTATTTTTTAGAGAATTTAAAGATTAGTTCATAGAATTCTCCAATGATGACTATTTAAAACTTTTATTGTTATTCTGAAACATGGTCTCATTTAGCCAGGCTGGCCTCAAACTCAAAATGGCTATGCTCTGTAGCCAAGGATGCCAATGAACTCCTGATCCTCCTGCCTCTAGTTCTCAAGTGCTGGGATTACAGGCAAGCAATCCCTTTCCAGAGAGTTTCCTCATTAGGGTACTAATGAGTTTGTGAGCTGATGAGTTGATGAGCATCACTGACTGGGAGCATCAACCAAGGTTCTCTGATGTTATACATTCAAGCTGACACCAAATGGGAGAGTGCACCGCCATGTCACTCCTGGGTACAGGGCCTCTGACCAGCATGCTTTGCACTCTACCTTTCAGTTTCCTGTGTTTTATATGCAGTGACTAAAAGTTTTAATTGTACTTAGGAGTTTGTACTTTGGACTAGGCTTTGTGGCTCATGTCTTTAATCCCAGCACTCAGGAGGAAGAGGCAGGTGGATCTCTGTGAGATCAAGGCCAGCCTAGTCTGCATAGCAAGTTCTAGGCCAGCTGGGGCTACAGAGAGACCTGGTCTCAAAAAAAAAAAAAACATAAAAAAGAGAAAGTTTGTATTTAGGGGGCTGGGGAGATGGCTCACCAAGTAAAAGTGTTTGCTGTACAAGCCTGAGGACCAGAGTTTGAATTCCCAGCACCCAGGTAAAAGCCTAGTAGGTGTGGAGTCCTGCCTGTAATCCAAGGCCTCTGGAGGCAGAGACACAGGGGATTCCTTGAGTAAACTGGCTAGTGAGACTAGCGAAATTGGCAAGTTCTGGGTTCAGTAAGAGACCTGGCCTCAATATGTAAAGTGGAGAGCAATTGAGAAAGACACACAACATCAACCTTTGGCCTCCATGCATGTGCACACATATGCCCACACACATGTAAACACATATACCATACACATACACATGTGAAAAAAAAAAAAGGCTATAGGAATATAAGATGAACATAGTTTGGAACATCAACTGTAGCTGGATTCAGAGATAAAGGTTAGGAGGGAGCGAGACTGGGAGTCACCACTAGGGAGGTGACCATAAGAATTGGGGGTGAGGGGAGTGGATGCATGATACTGTCATCCTCTCCCAGAAGAAATAAAGCTTGTACCTTTGAGATTCCTTCATGACTTCCTTGAAGTCAAACTAATAATTATGTCTAGTAAGGAGGTGTTTGCCAGTTTTCATTGGTGTTTTTCTAATGCAATAAACTCATTTCTGCCTGCAAAAAAAAAAAGAAAGAAAGAAAGAAAGAAAGAAATTGGGGGTGCTCCCAGACTTCTGTGGAAACAGAGGGGATGGCATTATGGCATTATCATTAAATTTTCAATGTTTAGGAATTAAGAATTGATAGAGGGGCTGGGAAGATGGCTCCATGGGTCAGAATGGTTGCTGCATAAACATGAGCACCTGAGTTAGAATTCCCAGTACTCTGTCAAACACTACCATGGCCACACATGCCTGTAATCCCAGTGTGATGGAGGACGGATACTGGAAGGTAGTTGGGACTTGCTGACTACCAGCTGAGTTCCAGGATCTACAAAAGACCCTATCTCAAGGAAATAAAGCAGAGTGAAAGAGCACACTCAGCAGCCTCTGATCTCCATGTGCACCCATGACACACACCTGCACACATGTGCACATACACATGGAACACACACAAAAAAGTGGCAGGGTTGCTGGGAGCTCCGACAGGTACGGCACAGGGGGAGAGGCCAGGACCAGCCTGGGTTCCTCTCTTGGGG